GCGATTGTAGACTAATTATAATGTAGGTTTTGTAAGTAGCAGCACACAGACCAACTGACATAGGGATTTCCCTCATATAACACGGTAGAAGACATAAAGATGTGCGTGTGTGTGGAAATATGCCATGGGTCATCAGGCATTGAATACCTGGACTTTTAAAGGACTATGGGTTTGAGTGTGTAGAACTTTCTTAGAATTTGTATGCTTGTTTGGGTTCTTGGCCTTCTACGAAGTCCAGTACAGGTGTTACAGTAGAAGTAGCTGGCACCATGCTTTTCTATTTGCATCCCCTACCCACTGCAAAAGGAGACACAGTAGGATGACCTATGGTGGTCCAAGTGAGGCAATTCTGCAGGTACCTGTTCAACGTTGTCTTTATTTATTTATTTATTTATTTTATTTATTATTCACATTTTTATCCCGCCCTCCCCGGAGGCTCAGGGTGGCTTACAGGGCATATTGCCAGATAAAACCATAAAACAATACAAAATATTAAATTACAACTCTATTTAAAACAGATTTTGATGCATAGCAAATTATACAATCTGTACAAATTCTAAAATTTCTAAAAGCAAAATGACTATCCCTGACCATCCCGTTCCCGCCCATAATGCAGCAACTAGATGTGCATGCCCCATCTTGATGTCCATATATGGGGGATAGATGGTAGCTAGTGCAATGGTGGTGCACTAGTGCACTAGTGATGAACTGCCGGTGGACTAGTGGCGGTGGCTCCTATTCAAAAGCCTGGCGGAAGAGCTCCATCTTGCAGGCCCTGCGGAACTGTGCTAGGTCCCGCAGAGCCCTGATCTCCTCTGGGAGCTCATTCCACCAGATAGGAGCCGCCACCGAGAACGCCCTATGGTGGTGCACTAGTGCACTAGTGATGAACTGCCGGTGGACTAGTGGCGGTGGCTCCTATTCAAAAGCCTGGCGGAAGAGCTCCATCTTGCAGGCCCTGCGGAACTGTGCTAGGTCCCGCAGAGCCCTGATCTCCTCTGGGAGCTCATTCCACCAGATAGGAGCCGCCACCGAGAACGCCCTATTCCTGGTCATGCTGAGTCTAATAGAACAGGGACCTGGAACATCCAGTAGATGTTGAGTCCCCGACCGCAGTGCCCTTGGGGGAACATGTGGGGCAAGGCGGGCCCTTAGGTAGGCTGGTCCCTGGCCATATAGGGCTTTAAAGGTAACGACCAGCACTTTGAAGCGAACCCGGTAAGCTATTGGCAACCAGTGCAGCGCTTTCAGCACAGGCTGGATGTGATCCCGTCTAGGAAGATCCATCAACAGCCTGGCTGCAGCATT